CAGGACCAATCCCAATTAAATCACCCCAGCCAGGGCTTTGTCAAGCCAAGACTTAAACACCTCTAGGGATGGAGACTCCACCACTTCCCTAGGTAACCCATTCCAGTGCTTCACCACCCTCCTAGTGAAATAGTCTTTCCTAGTATCCAACCTGGCCCTCTCCCACTGCAACTTGAGACCATTGTTCCTTGTTCTTCCATCGATCACTACTGTGAACAGCCTCTCTCCATCCTCTTTGGAACCTCCCTTCAGGAAGTTGAAGGCTGCTATCAAATTCCCCCTCATTCTTCTCTTCTGCAGACTAAACAGACCCAACTCCCTCAGCCTCTCCTCATAAGTCATATGCTCCAGCCCCCTAATCATTTTGGTTGTCCTCTGTTGGGCCCTCTCCAAAGCATTCACATCCTTCCTGTAATTGGGGGCCTAGAACTGGACACAATACTCCAGGTGCAGCCTCACCAGAGCCAAGTAGAGAGGAATAATGACAACTCTGGATCTGTTGGCAATGCTCCTCTTAATGCAACCTAATATGCTATTAGCCTTCTTGGCTACAAGGGAACACTGACGACTCATGTCCAGCTTCTCATCCACTGTAATCTCCAGGTCCTTTTCCACATTAGCCAGTGGTCCCCAGCCTGTAACAATGTTTGGGATTCTTCCATCCCAAGTGCTGGACTCTACACTTGTCCTTGTTGAACCTCATCAGATTTCTTATGCCCCAATCCACCAATTTGTCTAAGGCAGTCTGGACTCTGTCCCTGACGTGCAGTGTGTCTACCTCTCCCGCTAGCTTAGTGTCATCCGCAAACTTACTGAGGGTGCAATCCATCCCCTCATCCAGGTCATTAATAAGGATGTTGAACCAAACCGGTCCCAGAACTGAACCTTGGGGCAATCCTCTAGAAACCAACCGTCATCCTGACATCGAGCCGTTGATCACTACCCGCTGGGCCCGGCCTTCTAGCCAGCTTTCTATCCATCTTACCGTCCATTTATCCAATCCACATTCCCTTAACTTGCTGGCAAGAATATTGTGGGAGACCGTATCAAAAGCCTTGCTAAAGTCAAGGTATATCACATCCACTGACCTCCCCATATCCACAGAGCCAGTTACCCCATTATTAGAAGCTAATCAGATTGGTCAGGCACAACTTGCCCTTAATGAATCCATACTGACTATTCTTGATCACCTTCCCCTCTAAGTACTTCAAAATGGATTCCTTGAGGATCCCCTCCATGATTTTCCCAAGGTCTGAGGTAAGACTGACAGGCCTATAGTTCCCTGGGTCGTCGTCCTTCCCTTTCTTAAAGATGGGCACTACATTTGCCTTTTTCCAATCATCTGGGATCTCTCTTGATCTCTACGACTTTTCAAAGATAATGGCCAAAGGCTCCACAATGACATTTGCCAACTCCCTCAGAACCCTTGGATGTATTAAGTCCGGACCCATGGATTTGTGTATGTTTAGCTTTTCTAAAGAGTTCCTAACCTGTTCTTTCCATCTTCATCCCATATTACGTCACTTAGCACATTACAGGCAGTCCCCGGGTTGTCCATGAATTCAGAAGCAAAGAAAGCATTAAGTACTTCAGGGTTCCCCACATCATCTGTCACTAGGTTACTGCCCTCATCCAGTAGGGGCCCCACATCCAGTAGGGGCTCTGATCACCTTTTTCTTGCTAATATGCCTGTAGAAACCTTTCTTGTTATCCTTCACATCACTTGTGAGTCAATTCCAATTACACTTTCACCTTCCTGATAACTCCCCTGCATTCTCGAGCTATACATTTAAACCCCTCCCTAGTCATCTGTCCAAGTTTCCACTTTTGTAAGTTCCCTTTTTGTGCTTAAGTTCACCAAGGATTTCTCCGGTGAGCCAATCCGGTTTCCTACCATATTTGCTTCTCTTGCTACGCATTGGAATGGTTTCTTTCCATGCCTTCAATAAGGCTTCTTTAAAATACTAACAGCTCTCCTGGGCTCCTTTCCCCTTCATGTTAGCATCCCAGGGGATTCTGCCTATCAGGTGTCTGAGGGAGTCAAAATCTGATTTTCTGAAGTCCAAGGTGTGTATTTTGCTACTCTCTTTTCTTCCTTTGGTCAGGATCCTGAAATCTACCATCTCATGATCACTGCTTCCCAGGTTGTTACCCACCTCTACTTCCCCTATTAGTTCCTCCCTGTAGCCCGGCATGTATAGAGGGGGGGTGGAGGGGGAAGACGGGCTGAGGCTGGCCGGCGACTGGGGGGCAGGCTGCGAGACCGCGGCGAGCAGCAGACGTGGGGAGGCACTTTTCCTCTGCCCAGCAGCTCTGCGGGACCCCATTCCCTGCGGCCAGCTGCTGCTGCAGGGGGGG